CTCACCTGCCCCCGTCGAACCTAGTTCTCACAGAGGTCTCACAGAAGCTGCTGACCTTCTACCAGGACCTCTTCTGGGCCTGGAAGCCTCTTTTGGAGACCAGGTCCTTGGGAGCCACCATGGGGGCAGACCTCCTTGTGGAGCCCCTGCTATGCAATCCCCATCCTCACCTGCCCCCGTCGAACCTAGTTCTCACAGAGGTCTCACAGAAGCTGCTGACCTTCTACCAGGACCTCTTCTGGGCCTGGAAGCCTCTTTTGGAGACCAGGTCCTTGGGAGCCACCATGGGGGCAGACCTCCTTGTGGAGCCCCTGCTATGCAATCCCCATCTTCGTGAGTCCCCCTCGGTGCACCAGAGGTTGGTCCTGGCAGAAGTCACAAGGATCGGAGACCTCCTGGACTACGCCCGGGGAGACTGGGTGGATCCTCTGGCGCTCGCCCAGCGCATGGGGCTCTGCACCCTACATACTCCTCAGCGTGTACTTCAGGAGGTGAAGGACGCTTTGCTGCCCACTGCTTGGGTTTATCTTGACAGGGTCCTGTGAGAGGGTGCACCCCTCCTACCCTTCACCCCCCTGCTCTATCCATCAGCCCCTAGCCCCGTGTACCTTCCCGACCACCTCCCGCTCATCACCTGAGTCAGCTGTATGCGTTGCAGCTGACTCCTTGGCGTGGCTCAGAAAGGGACCATCTGTATACACTTGTGCTCCACACACTCCACTTCCCCACCCTCGTGTCCCACCCAGACACCAAGTGATGGGACCTCCTACCACCAAAGGGGGGGGAGCCTCAGTGGGCCAGCCTTTATTCGACCTTGGTTCCACGGCCTGCCAGGGACATCAGCTGGAGAATCCTCCATGGCACTGTGAGCACGGTTGTGTACTTGGCGCGGTTCACCCCTGTTCCCGACACTTGCCCCTTAGGGGGTGAGTGGGCAACCCTGGTGCATGTTTATCTCGAATGCGCCAGGTTACAGCCCCTTTCGGCTCCTCCAGAACCTCTTGTTGAGGTTCTGGCTGCACGTCTCCCCTCACCTCCTAATCTACGCGCACCCCATCCGTGGCCCCACAAAGTCACGGAACCTCCTGGTCAACCTCCTCCTAGCTATCGCCACGATGGCGATTTATACAACCAGGGAGCAGAGGTTGGCTGAGGGAGGGGCCCAAGACCGTGGGGCCTATTTCTGTACCTGCATCTGGCCAGAGTTCCACTGGGCAGCATCTGCTGGAACTCTCGAGTCCTTCGAGGGGCAGTGGGTGCTGTCCGGGGTTCTCTGCTCAGTGTCCCCGTCCGGGGCCCTCGTTTTAGACCTTTGACCCTCACACCCGTCCCTGTTTCTCTGCTGGCTCTCTTGAGACCTTTGGGGGGCAGTGGGCGTTGTCCAGGGTTCTCTGCTTGGTGTCCCCATCCGGTTCCCTCATTTTAGCCCTTTGACCCTCATACCCGTCCCTGTTTTCTCTCTTTGTCCCAAGTAATTACTTGGTTTTCTGGGCTCAGTGGACCCTCCCCATAGGCTGGGGGGAGGGCCTTTAGATGTGGGCGGGCTAACGCCCGCCCACCTCCCGGACTCCAATGGGCACAAGTGCAGAAAGTTACTGCATTGCAAAGTGCCATTATAAACCAGCTCCCAGCACTGTCAGCTGTTTTCCTCATAGAGTTGATTTACCTAGAGCAGTGTTTCTCAACCTTTTACTATAAAGTACCCCTTTTAAAAAAAAAAAAATTATAAGTACTCCCAGTACCTACAGTTTTCAGACACATGAAACAGCAAAAATTCTCTAACAGGTTTCCATGCCAAAGTTCATGGTTTGCAATCCCCCCTCCCAATCTTGTCAGAGTGGTGTATATTGATTGTCAATAGCCCGCATGTGGCCCCTGCCAGGGGCATCCAGCTCGTAGTCACAGTCCCACTGCCGACTGGGGTGCATGGCGGCTTCATCGTTGTGTTGAAGGCTGTAGGCCAGCTCTCAAGGTGGAAGATCTGCTCTTGATGAGAACTGGGATGAATGTTGCCTGCCATATGTAGCTGGGGGCAGCTGGAGGGACTGATGTGGGTAAAGCTAAATTCAGAGCTCCAATTCAGGATGGAGAATGGGAGCAAGATGGTGTTGCTTGAACCTGGACCTGCAGGGAGAGGGGAGAAATCAAGCATTACATAACTGGCCAGGTTACCTGCAGGAGCCTAAGAGAACTCTGAGCTTTGTTGGGTAAGTTTCCTCAGCTGTGGGCCTTCTCCTATGTCATTCCTAAGCATCTAAGCCATAGGATCCTGTGTGTACCCAGGCCAGTTATCTAATGCCAGGGGAAGGCAGCATGGGGCACAACTAGGGAAGGCTTTTTTAAAAGATCCTGTAAACCTAATTTTTTTTTTAGGTTTACAGGATCTTTTGAAAAAGCGCCCCGTTTTCAAAACAACCATGTCTAGACTGCGGTTTCAATTTCGAAATAGCGCTTTTCCAAAAGAGTGCCATTACATGATTATGCAAATGAAGTGTGGGCTATTTAAATCCCTGCTTCATTTGCACTTTCGAAGTGCTTCATTTACATCCCTCTGCTGACAAAGGGATGTAGTCTAGACGTAGCCTCAGTGACCAAGACCAGCTCTAGGAATACTCTTCTCAGCAGCTCATGCAAGTTCTAATGTTTTATTTATGTAGTGGCAACTTTACTCCCTCCCTTGGGTAGCTATGGGCTGTCCCATCAGGGGTGGGTAAACTCTTTAGGCAAGAGCTCCCTCTAGCAGCCCTAAGACCTACTATTTTCAGCAGGCCTCTCTGTGCCTGGTCCCATATTCTGTCAATACTTATTAGCCAGTATGGCTAGGAATGGTTTGTCAGGGGCTGGAAACAGATGACAGGGGATTGGTCACTTGATGATTCCCTGTTCTGTTCACTCCCTCTGGGGCATTGGCCACTGTCGGCAGACAGGACACTGGGCTGGATGGACTTTTGGTCTGACCCAGTACGGCCGCTCTTATGTTCTCCCCCTACCTTCTGAGGCCTGACTTTCCTCCTTGTTCAGTTCACTCGGGGCTCCAGTGTAGACTAGGTCCTTGCTCCATTTAAGTTGCTCTATGCCAGCTCATGGTAAAGAGCACAATGGTCAATTGTTTGTCACATTCACTGAAGAAAGAATGAGGTAACTGGTTTAGGCATGAGGGAAAGCTTTCTAACGATAAGGCTTGTTAGGTACCAGAGCTGGTTACCGGCGTGACTGGGGAATTCATATCACTGGAGGGCTTTTAAAAACAGGTTGGCCACATGGCTGTCAGGGATGGTCCTGCCTCAGCACACAGGGCTGGATCAGCCTATCTCTGTGATTCTAGGGGGCACAGAAGGCTCTTCAGATTTCAGCCACACACTGGCATCTGCCCATGCCTCTGTTGGCTTTTAAAATGTGCATAAAGAGGACGTGAGTTCAGTACACAGTGTAAACTCAGCTCCTACCCCTTTCCTTTCATTGCAGAGTGGTGCTTCCTATCTCACCTCCCTGAACCATTAGCTGACTGGCCCTTGTCCCTAAGGCAACTGAATGAAAGTACCAGGGGCTCCTTGGGAGTTTTGTTTTATCCCATTGAAAACCATTAGAGCAGGAACATATCTCTCTGACCATCTGGGTGGGTCACAAGTGGGGGTGTCAATGATTAACCGGTGGCCCAGCTGGGCTGGAGCAGTCCCCTGTCCCAGCCTGGCCTGAGCAGCTTCTGCACCACAGGCGGGGGCCTGGGGCTGCCCGTCGATTAAATGGGAGTTTACATCCCTAGTCCCAAAGCAGCACTCCAGGTTCAGTAAAGGCTCCTCGGCTCAACCACCAAGAGGAAGTTATCTAGAGTTACCCACTTTGAACTGCACTATGAGGTACTCATAGCTATTCCACTAGTGCACCTCTGCTAAGGTAGCCTGTCCCCTCTGGCCTCACACACGGGGGAGAAGAGGGCTGCATCTGCCAAGGCCGTACCCTGGATTTTCTTAGAACAAGCTTGCACAGCTTTATGCAGTTTTGGAAACTGTGTCTGGCTCCTGTCCACTGGGGCAGCCCAGCAGTTTAGCACAGGCCTGCTGCAGAAGCATGCCAATAACTGTTTCCTCTGTAAACTGAGCCAAAGCAGGGCTGAAGTTTAAATAAACCAATGTCATTAATCAATGCAATTACCATATAACAAGCAGCTCTGCATGTCCTCTAAACTTCACCTAACCCTTTTCCAAGTGGGGAGGAACCAAGTATATTTCACAAGTTGCTGTAAGTCAAGTGAGGGCAGAAGCAGCCAGCAGAGGTAGACCCTGCACCTGGAACCTGAGCTCCTAGGTTCAGTTTGATTGCAGAGCCCAGCAAGGTAATGCCCCATGCCACAGGAGGCCAGGCAGCTAGTTCTGGAATCCTACTGGCTTGGCCTGTCCACGTGTAACACCAGAGCTGCTGTAGCGAGACTGGGCAGTTTGCTTAGATTTCTGCCCCTGTAGCCACCAAATGTCCCAGGCTCTTCATCTGAATGCAAGGACAAAAAGGTAAAGCAGGGCTGACTCCCGGTGCAGTGCATAACTAAAGGGTTGACACAGGGGCCGTAAATGGAGGCTCTACTGTTGACATTTGGGATAAAAAGGAAGTGGAATTATCAGTGCTCTCATTAGATGGTAGAGCTTGAGCTCCTGCCAGAATCTCCTCCCTCCTGGGTAAGAGGGTTCAGCACGGCACATACATGACAACAGCCACCGGCTTGGCTTTGCTGGGTGGTGTCACACATTTTCTAACACTAGCCAGAAGGGAGGCCTGTTGGCTAATTTAGTTTAGCAAACCTACACCAGCCACACAGCACTGGCCAAAGGGGCAGGACCCACCTCTCATACCTGCAAGCCCAGCTAGCTATCCACTAGCACCCAGCTACCAGCTCCTTCTGGCCAGGGTGGGATCTGCAGTGGCACAGTGGCAGCAGGTCACCTGATAACTCTAGGCCATATTTAACTCTAACCCTGTGGTAACAGCAACCAGTGTCTCAGGCAGGCTCCAGCAGCTACTCTAGGACATGCTGAGGATTAATTAACTAATTAATCACACCAACATCTAATGCTGTGGCTCCATTAACTGAACAGCCCATTCAAGCATCATTGGCTGGTTGGAACCTGTGAGATGCCAGCCAGCCCTGGTGGCTTATCAGGGAAAGCAGCAGCTGGCCCAGGAAGGGCAACCAGTGTCTCAGGCAGGCTCCAGCAGCTACTCTAGGACATGCTGAGGATTAATTAACTAATTAATCACACCAACATCTAATGCTGTGGCTCCATTAACTGAACAGCCCATTCAAGCATCATTGGCTGGTTGGAACCTGTGAGATGCCAGCCAGCCCTGGTGGCTTATCAGGGAAAGCAGCAGCTGGCCCAGGAAGGCCTGCCAACCACATCTGGGCCCAGGGATGGGGGGAGCTGCTCTCTAGTAGGGTGATGGGGAGAGACACAAGTTTTTCCCTCTGGTTATGTGCACACATTAACCCTCCTCCTGCCCCCCCATACCTTGGGCAGGCGGGCTGACCACCACGTAGCTGGCGAGCTTGACGTCGCAGGTGGCATTGCACTCCAGGGGGATGGGGTACTGTTGGAAGTGGTGCAGCATGTCCACAATGGAGGAGAAGTGCAGGTGCTGTACACGGCACTGCCCCCGCTCAGTCAGCAAGAGCCTCAGGTGCTGCAAGGGAGAGGGGTACCTCACAAAGCTGCTCGTTCACTTCAGCAAGCTTGGGGGCCAGAAACTGGTGGCTGGCTGGACAAGGCCTCATTCACATACCTGCTGTAAAAAGCCCTTCTGAGGACACAGTGCCAAGAAACACCAAGAGCCAGGCTGGGGCAGTGACAGCAGGTTAAAGCTGCATCTGACATGGGGAGGTGAATGGGCCCACAGGCAGCAAAACTGAGCCCCATCAGTGTCCCTGGGAGCAGCTCCCTTGACACACACAACCGGTTTGCAACCCCCAGGGTTTACTTTCCCTGGCAGAGGTGAGTTTGCTTCCCCTGCCCAAGGTATGAGTCAAACCAGCCTGGCCTTTAGCAGGTTTGCTGCGAGGGGTAAGACTGCCTTCTGCCACAAGGCACATGGGCAGGCACAATCGAATGCCACAGTTCTCCAGGGGCTCCACGCCAGTGCCTCACAGGGAAGGTTTCCACAGGCAGACCTGTGGCTGGTGATGGGCTGAGGACCGGTTCCTGTGTTCAGAGCCTTCCCAAACACTGGAGCTCAAGAGAGGCCTGTAAATTGCCCTAGCACTGAGCCTTGGCTCTTGGCTCCAAGAGCACAGGCTAGGGTGTTAAGAGTCAGACACACCCAGGTAGGGAATGTGAGCAGTCTGCTTGTGGAAGGGTCACTTGCCTATCATGTCAACCAGAGGTTGGAAGCCTTGAGCAGAAAAGCAGGGCTGGCTGCAGCCCCCAGTCACATGGGCCATACCTTCGCTCTTCCTTGGAAATTGAAGGTGAGGACGTATTCGCCCCTGCGTGTTTCGCTCTGTCGAACAAGGAAAACCCCGTGGCCTTCCACCCCCTGCAGCTGAACAAGCTGGATGGCTTTGATGCGTGAAATGGGGCCGTGGAACCAGGGGTAGGAAGAGAGGAAGTGGTTGGTTTTCTGGTAGGATGGCTTTGGCTGCCCACAATGTGTAACACCTGAGGAGGGAGAACACCATTAGAGTCAGGGCCATGGAGACAGGCCTAAGGGAGACACTCTGCATCCCATGGGCCAAACCCTGAGCAGGGCTTGGCTCCTGCAGCAGCCATGGAGGGGTGCTGGGAAAGCCCCACACAGAACCACTGGGACCACTTGGGCTGGAGCCATTCCTTGGTGGGCTGCACAGCTCCTCTCCCCTTGCTGGGAGCAGCACTTTGAAATATCCCCCTCAACAGGGCATGGCTCATACTGTGTTGCTCTCTGGCTCGTGATGGTTTATTGGTTTTAAGTCCTGCCCAAGTTGTGCCAGGTGCTTCCCAAACAGACCACCCCCCCCCTGCAAACAGGTGTCCATGGGAGCATGAGCAGCCCTCAAGTCCAGGCTCTGCCTGGTGCTAGACCCAGGTTTGCCTCAGCCCCCTCATCACAACAGAGCAGTGTCCCTCTTTAGCTACCCTCTCCCACCATCACTGTGTCACGCCCTAGTGAGAGAAACCGGTGGGCATGCACCGCCCTCCCCCTTGCCATGCGACAGGCTCCCTCTGGCATTCGGTCTGGTTTGGCTTTGAATCAGTCACTGGCCACTTACTTCTGCTTTACCCAGAACCTGATTTACTCCAGGGCTGTGTCTAGACTGGCAAGTTTTTCTGCAAAAGCAGCTGCTTTTGCAGAAAAACTTGCCAGTCTAGACACAGCCCTGGAGTAAATCAGGTTCTGGGTAAAGCAGAAGTAAGTGGCCAGTGACTGATTCAAAGCCAAACCAGACCGAATGCCAGAGGGAGCCTGTCGCATGGCAAGGGGGAGGGCGGTGCATGCCCACCGGTTTCTCTCACTAGGGCGTGACACAGTGATGGTGGGAGAGGGTAGCTAAAGAGGGACACTGCTCTGTTGTGATGAGGGGGCTGAGGCAAACCTGGGTCTAGCACCAGGCAGAGCCTGGACTTGAGGGCTGCTCATGCTCCCATGGACACCTGTTTGCAGGGGGGGGGTGGTCTGTTTGGGAAGCACCTGGCACAACTTGGGCAGGACTTGGAACCAATAAACCATCACGAGCCAGAGAGCAACACAGTATGAGCCATGCCCTGTTGAGGGGGATATTTCAAAGTGCTGAGCGCACCTTGAAATCCCCCTCTGTGGAGCAGGACTCCTGCTGTGTTGCTCTCTGGAAAGCACCTGACAATTCAAGCAGGACTTGAAGCCAATAAACCATCACGAGCCAGACCGACACTCCCCACCACAGGCGGCCATGGGAACAAACACGAGCGGCCCTGAAGCCCAGGCTCTGTGTGTGGTGCTAGGCCCAGGTTTGCCTCAGCCCCCTCGCCACAACAAAGCAGAATCCTTCCTTAGCTGACCTCTCCCACCATCACTGTGTATCACAGGCCCCCGTGAGAGAACCAGTGGGACTGCACTGTCCTCCCCCTTGCCGTGCGAAAGGCTCCCTCCGGCACGCTGCCCAGTTTGGCTTTGAATCAGTCACTGGCCACTTCTGCTTTCCACCAGAAACCTGATTGACTCCAGGTCCTTGGCCTTGTGGTGCTGGCATTTGCCCGCAGCACGGTGGGAGCTGTGAGATACTGAAACTCAGCGCTGACACTATCAGCAAAACCCTTGTTTCCTGTCAACTCAACCTGCCAGCCAGGCTGCCCTAGTCCCTCTTTGCACAGAACATTGGGCCCCAGCCTGATTTTCTGCGTTGGAAGAGGAGAGAACCTCAAGCTCTCCCTCCCTTCACCTCCCAACACAGGTGACATCAGCCCCACAATAGTTCTGAGGGCCACAGTGCCTATTTAATCTTTGGGCTGGAAAGAAGGCAAAAGAGGCAAGCTAATGGGCCCCTCCCAGCTCAGGAAAGGTGTCTCTGTCAACAGCACTTGGTAAGTCATTTCTTGGTAGAGGGTTGGGAGCACAGGTCTGGCAGTTCCCTCCCTTCACCTCCCAACACAGGTGACATCAGCCCCACAATAGTTCTGAGGGCCACAGTGCCTATTTAATCTTTGGGCTGGAAAGAAGGCAAAAGAGGCAAGCTAATGGGCCCCTCCCAGCTCAGGAAAGGTGTCTCTGTCAACAGCACTTGGTAAGTCATTTCTTGGTAGAGGGTTGGGAGCACAGGTCTGGCAGTGACAGGTGCTCACAGCATCCTGCGCTCCAGGGCTCCAAGGCTACATCTACACTGGTGGGTTCTTGCGCAAGAATGGCCATACTTGCGCAAGAACCCGCAGAACGTCCACACTGCCCACCCGCTCTTCTGCAAGATTTACAGTACAGTGTCGGAAGACAGGGCTTCTTGCACAAGAGCTATGCACTTTCTCTAACAAGTGTAAGCCCTCTTGCGCAAGAGGGCAGTGTGGACACTCGGCAGGGGTTTCTTGCGCAAGAAAGCCCTATGGCTAAAATGGCCACAAGAGCTTTCTTGCACAAGAGAGCGTCCACACTGCCAGGGATGCTCTTGTGCAAAAGCACATGGCAGTGTGGACGTGGTCTTGTGCAAGAGTCCTTGCACAAGAACCCTTGTGCAAGATGTTCTTGTGCAAGAAGCTGCCAGTGTAGCCATAGCCCCCAGGTGCTCAGCTCCTTCTTAGATCCAGGGGTGCTGAAGGGTGCTGAGTCCCTCACAGGATCAAGCCCCAACTCCGCAGTTCTACCTGCCCTAGGAGCTGTGTAATTCTCTCCAGTTGCTGCCCTGGGCTGATTATTCCTTGTTTGCTCCAGCCCAGGCCCCTAAAGCCCCACAGGAAACCACTGGAAACTAGCCATGGTCTCAGGGAGGAGAGCAGAGTGAGTGGGGTTGGAATGCTTCGGGGGGGCTCCTATCCCATAGCCACCTGCAGGAGCGGCAGCAGGATGGTCCTGCCATGAGCCTGGAAGAGCCATAGAGTTGCAAGGCCCCACAGACCAGTCTCCTGGTCATGTGAGCACCTGACAGCAGGAGTGCCTGACAATGGGTCTCCCTGGACACTAGCTCTCTCAGTCAGGGGCCCCCTCGGCCCAGACCCACCTGAGATGCTTCCTGGTGATTGGCACTGCACACCAATTCACTTCAGCAGTATTGTATGGCTGGGAGCCCCGGGACTGCAGCAGGCTGGTCAACCCTTGTCAAGGCCTCACCAGGCCTGGTGGCTGAGGAGCTTGGGGGTTTGTAACAGTGCCAGCCTTTCAAACTCTGATGAGACTGACCAAGGACTAGGTGGTTAGGGGGGTGACGTGAGCCTTTGACTTACCGAGAACTCCATTTAGGGTGACAACATGCTGGGCAGGGGAGCCAGAGTCCCCAGCACAGATCAGCCACCCCTGGGAAAGCAGGGCCAACAATAGAAACTTTTACTTTCCATGGCCACTGGGTGCCTGCTGCTACTTGGGGCTCAGCACCCACAGCAGGGTTCCAGGGCAGTCTGTGATTCCCTGAGGGCCAACTTGGCCTGCTGTGGCTGGGGGGGGGGGGAATAGCTCAGTTGCTATGTGGTCACTGGTGCAGCACCAGATGGGGCTGCCGTTTACACAGGAGCACTGATTTGTAGAGCTTACGGCCAGACGAGAGCCTATGGACCACGGAGTTCCTGGGCAACAGGGCAGAGAACTCCTCCTCCATTTCTGCAGTGAACCCCTAACATCCAGAGAGCTAAAAAGCTACCACTAGCTACTTCTAGTTATTCTGTTCTCATAGAGCCAGTCAGAGCTCCCAGCCCAGCTGGTGTAGCCTGAAGTAGGGGTCCTGCACCCCCAGAACACACTGCAGGCTGGGAATGAATTCAGACATTTTGTGCATGATGAAAAAGTAGTATTCCAACACTGGCCCCTGTCCACAGGGCAAACAGGTACATAACTGCCCGCTTGTTAGAACCACAGCAAGGCAGGCAACACACCTCTGCATTTGCCTCCTTATTTGGCTCTAGCCTGGGACTCTGCCTCACACCTGGGTTTTATTCCCACTGCGCTGCTGGGTGACACAGGCCCAGGCGGGAAGCAGCTTCCCCAGTTTCCCCTCCCACTCCTTGTCTGACTTGTTGCTTTTCGAGGCATGCTGCTCAGAGCAGGGGCTGTCACATGCTGTGTCTGGACAGCACCTAGTCTGCAGGGGGGTGATTTTTGGCTGGGACCTCAAGATTCTACAATCATATATATAGTAGCCCAATGCCTGAGACTCCATAACAGTGTAATGCTTGGTGTTCCCTCTGGGTGGCGCTGTTGCCTCTGTAACGTCCTTCACCTCCTGCAGTGGCGCTCTGCTGACTTCTGCGCTGCTCAGCCGGGCTGCTGTGCTGGAGCAAGTGGCACAAGCGACCGTTTGGGCTCCGCGGTCTCCTGAGTGAGAGGCAGGAGGGGGAGGAGAGCTGAGAGAGAGAGAGAGGGGAGGCAGTAAGAGGAGAGAGAGAGAGAGACGGAGCAAGAGACTGGAGGCTCAGGAGAGAAGACTGACATGGAGGAGAGACCTGAAAATCCCATCTTATGATGGGCTAATTGGCTAGTAATACAAATAATCATCCTCACTGTCCCTGTCAGCCTGGCTTGGGTGTTTCTGAGGTGCCACACCCCCTGAACGGGGGTTACAAGAACAGCCCTGCATTTCTGGCCAGGCCTCTGTAAACAAAAGGCACTCTCGCGCTGGCAGTGGCAGCCATTTGGAGCACAGAGGACCTGGCCCAAGAGGTTCAAACAACTGTAAAGCTGAATTGCATTAGTGGGGCTACCCGATTTGGTCAGAGACAACGGACCTGTGTACGGAGCTCAGGCTCTGTCCCAGCTCTCTCAGTGGGTCGCTGTGGGTCCTTGGGCAAGCTGCAAAGCACCTGATTTGCAGAAATGAGGAGCACCCACAACTGGTGCGGGGCTCCCCTACCAAGTAGGCTCTTACCCATGAAGGCACTGAGTGCCAGTGGGGTAAAGGCAGGCTGGCTTCTTGTTGGTAAGAGGGAGGGAAAGGAGAGGGCACTGTAGGAGCAAAGTGCATCAGCTAGGGCAGCTCCCTGGTCGTCACAGCTGTCCCATACCACTGTGCTGAAGACAAGGAAGCACTGGGACCTGTGAATGTCCCCACTCTCCCATGCAGGACACCCACCTTGGGGAAGGGAGTTGGTGTGGCCATTGGCAGGGCTGGAGGCGCTGATGTCAGAGTGCTGGCCTGCAAGTAGCTCTGTGTTGCCTCTCTCTGACCTGCCAGGAAAACACAAGAAGGATGTCACTGCTTCTGCCACCAAGCCCAGGTGGAGACCTGGCTGCTCTGCTCAGCAAAGCACCAGTACGGGCAAGAAAAACACAGCGCCCTTTGTGCAAGTGTGTCAGGTAGAGACACCGCCGGGCAGGGAACGTGACAGCTCAGCCACTGCCCAGAAGTCAGGGCTCCTGACACAAAATGTTGGGAAATTCCAAGTGTTTTTTTTACACACTTAACACCCTCCTCCCCCGCCCCCAAACATTCTGATGAAAACATGTTTCTAAACATGGATGTGCTGCAGTGCAACATTCCCAGAGCTGCCCTGAGAGCAGCACCACCGCCAGGCTGCTCTGAGGAAACACACAACAGAACTGGGACAAACCCAGCCAAGAGACATCAGCCTCACTAGTAACACACGCAGGGGGGAGATGAGGCATGATTTTAATCTGGCCTTACTGATAGGCTGGGAGAGTGGGAGACAGGACAGCTGTGGTCTATTCCTGACTGACATAAATGCCCTCTGGTGGTGGGCAAGTGGCAGTCTCGCTTCCTGCCTCAGTTTCCCCATCTGTGTCAAGTGCCATTAGGCAGTAGATGATGGGAAGAAAGAAGGATGTTGTCACTCATATCCCTGGAGGCTGCCTAGCCAACCACAGCTAAGCATACTTCCAGCCTGCAGAACAGGGCAGAAACACAATGCCACGCTCTTTGCAGCTAACAAGACTCAGCTGTTAGCCCCGGAGCCACCCTGGCATCCACTCTATGCACTGCTGCAGCCCAGGTGGCACCTTCGGCTTGCATCAGATGCTGTATTCAGTTTCCTCCCTGTCCCTGTGCTTGGGGTGGGGGCAGGTTTCTCAGCTTTGGAGTGGGACGCTGCTCCCTTTGGGAGAGCTGATGGTGTGGCTCCAAGCCAGCCTGTGTCCTTTCCCTCTTCACACTAAGAATCCCCAAAACACATAGGTGAGAGGAAGAAGCCCTCAGGGACCCTTGCCATGGTGCTGTGCCCTCTGAACTACTAACAGCTGACCAAGTTCATCGAGCGTGGCAGCATGAACTGGGTTTTGGGGATTCCCACCGGGCCCCGGTGACTCCTTGCAGCCCGCTTGAGGTTAGGGCCAAATTCCCAAGCCCAGGAGAGTTATGCTAAGATGCGTCTGGCCCAGCTTGGCTGACTCACCACTAGCTCAGGGGAGCCAATCACTTGGAGAGCCCCACCCAACTTCCCAGGCAGCTGGTAGACAGGGGTCAGGCCAGGCAAAATCTGCAGCCCTACCCTCAATCAGCAGCAGGACCCTGGCTGGTGGGAGGCCATGGGGGGGTACATCTACACAGCAAAATTATTCCAAAATAACTATGGATATGTCTACACTTCATTCCTCTCTAAAGGAATGCAAATGCAGACACCCGAAACTGCAAATGAAGTGGAGATTTAAATATCCCACGCTTCAGTTGCATAATCGCATTATAATGCTATTTTGAAATAGCGCTATTTTGAGAGGAAAAAAACGGGGTTATTTCGCGATTAAAACCCTTCCCTCGAGGAGGAAGCCCTGACAGCCCTGAGCCACCCAGCAGCTGCCCCTGCCTTGCTTTTCCCACAATATGAGCCAGTCTCCTGGTCCCAGCCAGCCCTCCACTGTTCCAGGGAGCAGTCAGACAACTCCCAGGAGCCCACCCGGGCCTGAAAGAGGCATGGGCCTTCCTGGTCTGGTGCAGAGATCCTGGACCTTATTGAGGTTTGGGGTGACAAGACCCAACTCCAGGATTTCCACACCAGGCACAGGAACACCAATGTCTATGGCTGGATGGCCGAGAGCCTGGCCAACAGGGGGCACATCCACACCCAGGAGCAGGTGTGGATGAAGGTTAAAGAGTTCCAGCCCTGAGCCTTTCCTCCCCTCTCTTCCCTCTTTCAGCACCCTTCTCCAAAGTTCTTTCCCCAGCTACATTTACCCCAAATAAAACCAAAGAGTTTATTGTCATCCTCCCAGGGGACAGACACGAGGTGGAGGAGGAGGAGGAGGAGCCGGACAAGGCCAGCATGGTCACCATGCCTGCCAGCCAGGAGGTCATGCCCACCCTGCAGCCGGTACCCCACTACCAGGCTG